ACTCTCTCTCTCTCTCTCTCTCTCTCTCTCTCTCTATTTATTAAGTTGAAAAAAAACTACTTTCCATAAGACAGACGAGAACAAAGACAGGATATGTTCCTCCAAGAGAGAACATGCTGCGATTGTCTTCTCTGAAGAATGAAGTCGGGGGGCTTGTAAAGGCATTAAAATTATTTCAGGTACATTAATGTTTTGGCTTCTTTAAATGTTGTATTATTGTCATACCTATTATTTTCATTCAATTAATTAATCTCAATGTATCATCTTTCTTTCTATCTATCTAATTTGTATTTGATTATTTTCAGTATTTTCAGCTTCAGTAGAATCATGTTATATATAAATGACAAAAAAGGCACTGATGGTTAAATAGTTGTTTAGTAATTCCAGGTAAAGCAATAAACAATAACTTTGAAATCCTACTATGGAAAGTACGCACTATGAATGAATTAAATTTATAGATACTGTATCAAGTTCCTTCTCACTCCATGTCACTGCAGTGTAAAAGATATCACATATTATAAATCTGGTACATCTTCAAATATGTGTATTATACAAATTAATGTATTTTGTATAAATATTATTCAAACAGTAAATATGCAATTTACGCTCTCTCCCACCTTCAATACCACGACTGAGGTGCCCTTGAGCAAGGCACCGAACCCCCAACTGCTCCCCGGGCGCCGCAGCATAAATGGCTGCCCACTGCTCCGGGTGTGTGTTCACGGTGTGTGTGTGTTCACTGCTGTGTGTGTGCACTTAGGATGGGATAAATGCAGAGCACTAATTCCTAGTGTGGGTCACCATACTTGGCCACGTCACGTCACCAATGTATATTAAATTTAAATTTACAGTGGGCTAAATTACATATTTTTATTCATTATAAACAGGACAACCAGGTAAAGCTTTTGCATATTGAGTCACGTAAGTCCCGGCAGCGTAACTCAGAGTTGGAAGTACTGGTGGATTGTGACAGTGATCGAGAAACTCTAAAAGAGGTTGTTCAGTTGCTGCGCAAACAAACAAGCATCATAACCATGGACTCACCTGATAGGTTCTCGACTCCTGCGAACGGTACTGTGTTTTACTCCTTCATTAGATAGATGAGTAAGGCACAGAAATTTGTATATAAATCTGTGAACATTCATTTTTCAGATCTTGCTGAGGTGCCTTGGTTCCCCAAGAAGATCTCAGATCTGGATAAGAGTGCCTGTCGTGTTCTGATGTATGGTTCAGATTTGGACGCAGATCATCCGGTCAGTATCATCTTACTTTTTGCTAGAGAATTAGGATGTGGAAATTCACTGATAATAGTATTTATGTCATACTGATCATGTATAATACTCTTCAGTATCTGAGCTGCTACCTTATGCATAAAAACCGTATGTATTTGTTCCTATATGATTTCAGGGATTCAAAGACAACATTTATCGTAAGAGAAGGAAATATTTTGCTGATCTTGCCATGAGTTACAAACAGTACGTTTAACAATAAGGTTTTAAAACTCTTATATTAATTCCACATATTTATCTTTAATATTCACATGATTCTCTCTCACTCCGCAGTGGAGAACCTATACCACGTGTAGAGTTTACAGAGGAAGAGGTGAAGACGTGGGGTGTCGTTTTTCGGGAGCTGAATAAGCTGTACCCCACACATGCCTGTCGAGAGTACCTGAACAACCTGCCTCTGCTCACCCAGTACTGTGGCTACAGAGAGGACAACATACCACAGCTGGAGGACGTGTCCAACTTCCTGAGAGGTGAGACATCATGAGTGCGCACACAGTGATAAAGTATGTTTTTTAAGATTAATTTGAACTTTACAATAGCTACAATACTAGCTGATGAGAAGTATTAGTTGTGTCACCAGCAGAGGACAGTAGTTGTATGGCTGTTGTATGTGTGTTTCAGAGCGAACTGGCTTCACCATTCGCCCTGTTGCTGGGTACTTGTCACCGAGAGACTTTCTGGCTGGTCTGGCCTTCAGAGTGTTTCACTGTACACAATATGTGCGTCACAGCTCAGATCCTCTCTACACTCCTGAACCGTGAGTATAAAGCATACTGTATATCCCTTTATCTCTTCAGGCCTGTTTATTGACACAATCTTTTGAAATAGGCTTTTATGAAGCAGCACCCATTGTTTAAGCAACACTCACTGTCTGTCACACCTGATGCATAAACACGCAGAAATGAAACAAACACATCACCTTTTATACAGTAAATCAAACTGAATCCAGATTATTTAAGCAGTTTATATTTTGTACAATTCAAAAATAGCAAGGTTTAGTTTTTTCGCACAGCGCCACCTGTTGGTCAAAAGTGATAAGCCATTTAATCATATTACTAGTGGTTGTATTTATGATTTTATGATGCTTGGCCCCGTGATTGCTGCTTGCAGCTATATTTTTGTTTAGATTTTGAATATCAAATAAATTTTGATGTATTGCAGCAATGCTTTAACTTTTTTTTTTTACAGATCTTGTTAAAATTTCAATATTGATTTATAAGGTTTTTTTTTCATTTGGCATTAAACATTTTTTCAATGTTTTTTCAGTGTTGAAACAACTGACATTCTTTCAACCACATTTCAATGCTGAAACTCATTCACATGATTTCAGAATGATCAAGTTTATAATAATTCTTAATAGCTAATACTCTCAATAATCATTTTATATTTATTGCTGTTATTAAAGTGCCCCTATTATGCTTATTTAAAAGTCATACATTTATTTTTGGGGTCTGCTAGAATACATTTACAGTATCTACATTTTAATAAAAAATAAAAAAGTTTCGTGCACTGCTGCAGTACCTCTTTTTACCCTCTGCCTGAAACAATGGCTGCGTCTGAAAGCTCTAAAATGCTGCCTTCGGAGGATGCATTCCAAGGTAGGAAGGCATCAAGGCACGTCCAAATCCAATGTCAGCTTCACTTTCTGTCTCCTGAAATGCCTTCATCTGATCAATTTTTGAAGGCAGCATAGATGTATCCTTCGCTCCCTTTGATATCCCACAATCCTGTGCATTCCATTCCGTGACAGTTGAGCTAAAAAATAAAGACGTCGTCTGAAAGTTGCATTTGGTGGTCAGTTTCTGTGTAAAAGTATGTTTCTGACCAACTTTTTCCATTTTTGACGTTACTTCTATCGAGATATCAGTATTATTAATTAAATATTAGCTTAGTTATCACCAAATCTCACTCTATTTTGTTGTAGATCCTTAAACTGTTACGCTGCCTCAGAAGCCTGTCCGAAATCAGTTTCACAAGGTGCCTTCGTGTAAAAACGCTGCCTTCAAAGTTATTGCCTGATAAGGCAGTGAGGCAACAAGTCAGCAGCTTAAAGGTGGGGTAAGTGATTTCTGGTAGCCAATGTTGACATTTGAAATCACCAAAACAAACACGCCCCTACCCCAAAAGTGTCTCGCCCCTATTTTGATAGCTCCGCCCCACACATACGTACGCAACCCAGGCAACGATTAGTTCTGTGAAACAAAGCAAAACCAATGTTACACCGTGTCTACACCGGATGCGAGCGGCGCGCGACAAAATACTATTGAACTCATTATAATCAGTGATATTGTCTACACTGGATGCGGCGCGACACGACAAATCCCCGACAGAAAACTGCGTTCTATTTATGACTTATTGACACAAATTTCAAATGATTTTCAACGGTCGCTTTGTCGCATCCAGTGTACTAGACAGACTTTAGCTGTTGCGGCGCTAGACACGGTGTTACTCACCTATCGAGAAGAAACAAAGCAACCTCGGCGTCCGATCGCAGGCCTTCTGCTCCTTGAGTTCTCTCCAGTGCTGGAAAGCTGATCCGATATTTACACGGGTCCTACTTCTTGCCTTATTGCCTTATGCCTTCTTTCCACGGACGTTTTCCTATTTTGTTTTTTTATCCGCCATCTCTATCTTTCTGAGATGGCGGCCCAAATCAGTTTTCTAAAGCGTTTTTGAAAAATCGCTTACCCCACCTTTAAGCTTTCAGACACAGCCACTCTGTTTTAGTTCCTGTCTCTTTAAAGCCCGCCTTTCTGAAAAGCCCAGTTTGCTCTGATTGGTCAGTTGGGCCAGCCTGTTGTTTTATTGGTTGTTGATTGGTCAATTGGGTTTTTAGCTCCAGAGTTTTAATGAGCAACTGTAAACAGTATTAAATCTATGGTAACTGTGGCGTTGGTCCATTCAATGTTTGTTTTGTTTTTTTCGCCCTTGCAGCATCTAATTTACATAGACATAGCGAAATTACTTACCTAATTGTTCTTTGAGGGCGGAAATTATGCAAATGTTTAACATGGTGATGTAGCTAGTCAGGGAGATAATAGACTACAAACAGTGTTTTAGGCAAGTGTTTTCTATTGGGGAGATTATCTCCATTTGGTTTCTTTGTAACTTTGCAAATGGTTTACATGCACAAACAGATTTATTACACATTAAAGGAAAGGTAAAATCATAAACAACATAAAGGTGCCCTTTAAAATAAATACTCAATGTGGTAACTCAGAAATCACTCAGAAATCAATCCTTCTCTGCACAGAGCTGCAATTCTACAGCAGTAACAATGTTCACGTCATATCTTTATGCGCATTTGCTCCTGCATCACTTACACACTGTTTGTATATGTCTTGTGAACTAGGCCTTATTCTGCTTGGTCAAAAAAGCTTGACAAACAATTAAAGAGATCTTCATGTCTGTGTCTTTCAGGGACACATGTCATGAGCTGCTGGGTCATGTTCCTCTGTTGGCCGAACCCAGTTTTGCACAGTTCTCTCAGGAATTAGGACTGGCTTCTCTCGGTGCGTCTGATGATGCTGTGCAGAAGTTAGCAACAGTATGTATTTCTGTACATTTTGCTGTCCTAGGCATAAAGCCTTAATAATTTTTGCAGTAGTTTTGATGGTGGTTATGTTGGTGTGTGTGCCATTGCAGTGCTATTTCTTCACGGTAGAGTTTGGCCTGTGTAAGCAGGAGGGTTCGCTCAGAGCATATGGCGCTGGGCTTCTCTCTTCAATCAGCGAACTTAAGGTAGATACTCATTATCAGTTTTAGAATTATAGATTACAACAAAAATGTTTAATCAAATAACTAGTTTGAACAAAAAATATGAAAAAAATACGAGTTCACTTTTTAAATATCTTTAAAAGATACCAAAGCTCCATTCATTTGATCAAAAACACAGTAAGAAAACAGGAATATTGTGAAATGGTATTACAATTTAAATGAATTGTTTTCTATTTAATATATTTTAAGCTGAATTTTCAGCTGCCATTGCTCCAGTCTTCCGGGTCACATCCTTCAGTAATCATTCTAATATGCTGATTTAATTCTCAAGAAACATTACTTATTGTTATCACAGTTGAAACTTTTTGTGTAAACTGAAAGTTCAAAAGAACAGCATTTATTTGAAATAGAAATCCTGTGTTACATTATAAATATTGTTACTGTCACTTTTGATACATTTACTGCATCCTTGCTAGATAAAAGTATTAATTTCTTATATAATTTCTTAATATCTTATATTAATTTCTTAATATCTTATTAACCCTAAATTTTGAACAGTACTGTAACTGCAGTTAATGAAGTTAACTGAAGTGAATGACTCTGAATCACATATTATGTTTTGTTTTAAAGCACTCTCTCTCAGGCTCTGCTAAAATCCTGCCCTTTGAGCCCAATGTCACCTGTAAACAGGAGTGTCTCATCACCACATTTCAAGATGTTTACTTTGTTTCGGAGAGCTTTGAGGAAGCCAAATTTAGAATGCGGTAAATCTGTTTTTCAATATGTGACCTATTAACTTTGCATGCCGTATATCACTATTGTTTTGCTTTGACCATATATTTCTTCTATTTTATTCTTCACAGTGAATTTGCAAAGACAGTCCAGCGTCCATTCTCCCTGTGGTATAACCCGTACACACAGAGCGTGTGTGTGCTGAAAGACATGCCCAGCATCAACGATGTGGTCGAGGAGCTCAGACACGAGCTGGACATTGTAGGAGACTCTCTCTGTCGACTCAGCGCACACCTTGGTGTCTGAAACCATTATGACTCTTGCTTATATCAATAGCTTTTATTCCTGCACTCTCTTATATCAAGGCACGTTACTCAACATTCAACAATGCAATAGTATTATCTCATGATCTGCCTTCTCTGACTGAAGAGGTGAATCGCTCTCAATGTCTCTGTGAGCACCTTTCCTCTGCTACTGAAAATCTGCCAAATACCACAAAGCACTTAAACAAACACTGCTTTCAGGAGAGTCTTTAAGTGCTCTTTAAATACACCAACTAGCTCAGAGTCCTTCCCTGCTATTCAAACACCACCACAGCAAAAACTACAGCCATGACATTATCTCATGATCACTATATTCATGCAGTCTATATACTCTAACCTCTTCTCCACTCCAAACGCAGTCTCTGTAAATACACATGAAACATGGAAATGGTTAATAATCTTCGAAGACAAACCTTAGGTTTGAAAAGCACTCCTACAATGTTATATCTTGAGGCTTTCACTAATTTTTATAGTCGTTAAAAATAAATACACTACTAAATACATTCTTAATTCTAAACTTGTTGTGTATTCTCAACCAGTTAAAGGGCTTTGTTGCTTTCCCAACATCAAACCTACTGTACCTTCTAGGAAATAGAGCCATTAATTTCTTACCATGAGCTGAATGATTTATTTATTGGTGTTTGTGATATAAAAATATGTAACTAAAATGTTTCACCTTTTTCCTATTATCCTGATGTGAATCTGAAACTGTGTTGTGTGTATTGTTTTGTGTTCTGAAGACTGTAATCCTTGCTGCTTATCCATGGCCATTCATGTTTATGCTTATTGAATGCTAATTAAGTAAAGTGATTCTTATAAGGAGAGATCAAAATGTAATTAATAAATAAATGTCAACTTTTATTAAATGATTTGTTATCAAACTCTGTATCACACCAATGATTCAAATGGTATTATTGAAACAATGTATCTCATAGAACTCACACTTCTGGTATATTTTCTGGCTTGTAAACATCATCATTCACTAAGAAGTGAAGTTACTGTACCGTAACAGTGACACAGTGGCCAGGAGAGGGCAATGCTGTTGTATTACAGTGATAACTCAGTAAAACTGAAACTTGAGACAATCGATATAACCTGAAATTCAGGTAACAAAACCCAGAGACATGCTTGCAAAAATCAAGGCATAGAATTGTTTGCAAACAGTTTCTCTAAATAACCGAGATGTATACATGGTCCTCGTGTCTGTTATTGTGCAAAAATACTATTTTGTGTTGATTGCTTATGGTTTGATGTAGGCTATTTGTATGTAGGGGGCGGTCAGTACTTAGGGGAGTTACATTCAGATGTTTCTGAAGCGAGACCGGATGTGTTAGCTATTTATTCAGACAGGTAGACCTAAGATTCTAAAAACATACTGATTGTAGCTTAACAAGATTCTCTTCATAGTATATCTCCAGTCCAGACACATCTTTCTGAAATAATTAGATTGTCAAAGTGTTTCAGATTATTGGGTCATGTACGGTGCCTGTTCTAGAAGCAACCAGTACTGAATCACACCCAAGAGGTACTGCTCTCAAAAGAGAACAAAGAACTTGGGATATTTCCAAGATCCCCTTTCATTACAGATATGAATACATGTAATTAGATTACCACCTGAGTAGCCTACATTTCAAGGTTTCATTTCATGTGCATTACATCTTGCGATAAATGAAGGAGATGCTTGGACTGTAATTAATGGAGGAGCTTTAACGTCAAAGTACTCTGACTGTTTCCAGAACCACTTCCAACAACAGAACGTTTGAAGTCCTCTGGAGATTTCTGGTAGACAGCCACATTAAATATGAATGATCTACGGTTTTCATAAAAATGTCATGCACTATAACAATAAAACATGTCATATTGCATTTTAAATATAAAACGGATTTATTACGTTAATTCATGCAGTTATACTTGAACTTGAAGGCTACATACTGTTTTAATTGGCTGAAAACATTAGGTTTTCCTATCTACATATTCACTCACTTTTCCTATTCACTTATTGTGAATTTCAAGCTTATTCCAGTGGGGCAGTAAAAAATCTGTAAACACACACTCCAGTGCTCCTTTTGTAGTCATAGAAGAGATAGGATGAGAGAGAGAGAGAGAGAGAGAGAGTCAAAAGGGGGCTTGGCTGCTTTACAGGGTTCCCACCAGAATGTCATGCACTATAACAATAAAACATGTCATATTGCATTTTAAATATAAAACGGATTTATTACGTTAATTCATGCAGTTATACTTGAACTTGAAGGCTACATACTGTTTTAATTGGCTGAAAACATTAGGTTTTCCTATCTACATATTCACTCACTTTTCCTATTCACTTATTGTGAATTTCAAGCTTATTCCAGTGGGGCAGTAAAAAATCTGTAAACACACACTCCAGTGCTCCTTTTGTAGTCATAGAAGAGATAGGATGAGAGAGAGAGAGAGAGAGAGTCAAAAGGGGGCTTGGCTGCTTTACAGGGTTCCCACCAGAAGAGATATGAAAGGGCAGACAGCAAAGAGCTGTAGATGAAATGCATGTGTTTCGATGTTTCATGTGGGCAAGCAGTCAGTGCAGTCAGCTGCTCTCAACTCAGCACTGATATAAAGATTAGATCACAGAATGACACTAACGGAAAAATATTTTTTTTATCATTCATATTGAGGCATTTTAAATGTAGCACATTAGCTGCAACATTATTTGATTTATTAAATATTTTGACATTGATATTAACAATTTAGTAATAATAATATATTCTATATAATATTAATGAGAGCACAATACCATCGAGCAGATAATCATAATACAAAAAAAAGTCATTAACATATTTTTTACAAATATTTAGAAGTTTTATTTATGATCTTTTATAGTCAACTCCTTTTTCCGTTTTACTCTCTATTTCTATTCTCTCTCTTCATTATCTCCTCCCAGAGCTCCTCTATCTTCACTGCCAGTAGTCCCAACCACTTAAGATTGTGAAGGCTTAATTGGTGTTCATTAAACTTTCAGGGCTGGCTGCTTGATGGCAGGGCCGTCCTGTGACAGCACAGGAAGATGAAGTAACTGCATGAGCAGCCCTGAGCAGACTTACTGCACATGCTCAGTGGCCTTCAGCCTCATCATCAGCACAGTCACTGATAGTTTAGCTCATTACTCACCTCCAGTGAGTAGCAGATTAGGTTATCTCCTGTACAGGAAGTAGTCCTGTCATCAAACATGTAACTATGATTTCCCTGGATTCACTTAAGGAAATTGAGCTATATAAACAGCATTTTAAAATTTGAATCTCCAGCAGACCTATTGGAATCTCATTCTCTCTCCAAATCTGATCTCCTAATCCCTCTGAGATATGGCACTTCAAAGCAGAAGTAAGACCCTCCAGGGATTTCCTGATTTCAGATCCAATTGGAGTTCAACCTGTAAGTAAAATCCCAAGCACAGCATTGGTCTTTGTATAAGTGAAAAGGTTTCTCTTACTTGTAATGTATTATTGAAAGAAAGGACAGTGCAAGAGAAAAACGAATGAATGTCTGAATTGATGTCAGCTGATGGGAGATTTAGTGGTTTTAGTGCCATATGCCTAAACCATGGATTCAAGGTTACCATGTTTCTGGAATTGTAAGTTTTGTACAATTATTTTAGTTATTTCATGCACATTTACCACAAACACATATATCTACAACACTACTTTCCTAAAAAATTTACAGTGCTACACATTTCTCACTTAAGATGTTTCCTAGGTATAAATAATATGTAATATACATAACATAATATAATAATATATATTATAACTATCTATCTATCTATCTGTCTGTCTGTCTGTCTGTCTGTG